ATCCTTTGTGTAAAATGGGGGGACAGTATTTCTATACTTCAGGGAGGCTTTTTAGAAGATGCTCCTGTTTTAAACTTCTGCTTGAGTATTAATGGGTTCTACAACCCATCTAGACTACAATGAAAACAGTTCAAACATGCACTTTTTTTTTTTTTTCTACACAGAGTCTCACTCTGTTGCCCAGGGTATAGTGCCATGCCATCTTTATAGCTCACAGCAATCTCCAATTCCTAGGGTCAAGCAATCCTCCTGCCTCAGTTTTTTTATTTTTAGTAGAGACAGGGTCTCGCTCTTGTTCAGGCTGATCTCAAACTCTTGAGCAATCCGCCCACCTCGGCCACTCCAGGTGCTAGGATTATAGGCATGAGTCACCCAGCCAACTTGCACATTTTTTGATTAAGGAAATTATCTTGACTAAACTTCACAAGAATCATTATAAATAAGGACACTCGTAGAGGCAGAAAAATGACCCAAATAACAGTCTAAGACTGTTGATATTGACTATTAGGAACAACAGATCAATTATGTACAGAAATTTGATTTTCTAAACAGTGACATTTTCCCAGAGATACCAGCAAGGAATATAACTTTACCATTCCACACATGGTCTGATCATTTGGCCTCCTCTACACTGGCAAGAGGGTCCCAGTTTCCACACAGACCTCAAGTCTTCTCAGACACATTCCATGAGCTTCAAGCGCAGAGCCATGATGTACATTTCTGGCTATTCTGCAGAGCACTTCAGTCCAGGGTAGCTGAATACATGAGTGGTTTTTCCATTCACTTATAAACCATGTTGATATTAAGCACAGATATAATCTGGACGAATTTTCATTTTCTTGGCCTAAAGCTATGACAGGATTAAAGCAAAAGTGAATTAAGGAAGACCCAACTATTTTGAACAAACAACATAGAAGTGATTGTATAATTTGGACCCACTTAATTTCTATGTCTAGCTGAAAAACATATAATTATGGTAAAAATAAGACTTTAAGGAAAGTGAATGGCTATGCTATCAATTAAAATAAATTAATATTTTTGTTTGTTTGTTTTTTTACAGAGTCTCACTTTATCACCCTTGGTAGAGTACTGTGGCTCACAGCTCACAGAAACCTCCAACTCCTGGGCTTAGGTGATTCTCCTGCCTTAGCCTCCTGAGTAGCTGGGACTACAGGCGCCTGCCACAATGCCCGGCCATTTTTTTGGTTACAGTTTGGCAGGGGCTGAGTTTGAACCTGCCACCGTCGGTATATGGGACCGGCACCCTACCCACCAAGCCATGGGTGCCGCCCTAAATTAATACTTTTTAAAAAGTGAATGCCTATAGAGAAATGTATACCAAAATATAATCAATACTATCTATAATGTAATTAAACAATATTCAACTAGGACAATCATCCCTATAGACAGTTAAAGGTTTAGACCCATGAGGAATACACACACACACACACATATATATAGCTAATTTTACACAGTCACTGGTCTTGTTAAGCAGTGTGTAAAATTCTTATAAACAGAATCATACAGCTTTAGGAACTTGCTATTTGAAAAAAACTATTGTTAATTCCACAATTAGTCATCCCTTTATTCATATTTGCATATATTTTCAAACATTGGGTTAATTATCAATTAAAAACATTTACCTACTTAGATGTGGAATTCCAACATTTCCAGAGTATTCAAAAAAGATATATATTATTTTCCATTCCCAAGACCTGCTTGGACTGAATTAAAATTGTCTTTCTTTGGTCTCACTGAAATAAGAGAAAAATCACCTGATGGAGAACAAATATTTCCATCCAAAATCCATTTGTAGAAATGTCCTGGGAAAATCAAGATAAGTGCTCCCTTATCTGGGCTGTTCTTCTCTGTAGGAGGCTGAGCCCATCCTATACAAGCTCAGTCTAAGGGTCTCCTATATCCTAGAGAAGGCCCTGGGGCTTTCACCAGAACCCCTCTTGGTAGAAATGACTGGTTCGAGACTGTAAAGACCCACATCCAATAAATTTAAGTCACCAGGGCAACCCTGATTAATAGTTTCTTGGGGACTTTCACAGGATAGTGTTCCTAAATTGAACCAGAAGCCGCCCACAGTTGCTTTACTTTGGAGAGAAACACAGTTTTCCTGATCCATTTAGTACCCTACACCTCCTTATATTGTACTTCTCCACAAGAATCTTCTAAGCCCAGAGGAAATATTCAGATTAGAAGAGTATAATAAACAGATAGCATGAAAAGTAAAAGAAATCCAAGTACCAGGTGGGAAATTAAAGCTGCCTCCTATGGAAGAAGTCAGTCTAGGAGATAAAGTTTTAAGGATGTGATGGCTGCCCAATGATGTGAACGTACTTAACATCACTGAACTGTACACTTAAAAATGTTAAAATGATAAAGATTAGGTAATGCACATCTTACAATAAGTCAGTCTGATATTACAATATTCATACAATCAATCCCTCAGTATGATCACATATGGCCAAAATTTTAAGAGAGAATCTTATTCTAAAATCAGAAAAGGACAAGGGCCTTATATTTTCACTTTTGCTATAGCTTTCTCATCGTTTAAAACATATGAGGTACAGAAAACACTCAAATGCACAGGAAGTTCACCTCCAATTTCTTGTCAGCATTTAAAAGTGGTGCTAATTTATACAAGTTCTTTCTGACTACTTCGTTTGTTATATTCATTACACAAATGAATAAAAACAAAGAAAAAACAAAACCCAAAACCTCCTCCCTGAGTACATCTGTTTTGATACCTTCCCTGTACGTAAGAACCATTTAAATAGCGTCTTAGTTTTTATTTTCACTGTATTAAAATGTCTTCTTTTCACAATTTGGTTTTCTATTTAGAGAGTTCTTGCCCCATTCCCAACACACAGTCGGGATAAACATAATAGGTTTGTTAATGCCACAGAGCTATAGGCTGCCAATCCCCAGGAAAAGTTTTTTCCTCTCAGTCCTGGATTGTGTGGAAATAATTACACTAGGTAAGGAGATCCAAGATGTGTGGGAATATACAAACGCCAGCTAAGTCCCCGGATAGCTCAAGTGGAACCAAAAGTTCAAGGCAGCAACTCTATGTAAATATCAGCCACAGCAGCCTACAGCCGCCACCACCATGTCTGCCTGTGAACAGAAAGGGTAGAGTTCATGTGATTGTGGTCACAGTAATATCAAGGGGACAACATCTGACACTGTTAATTAAATGATCAGGTTATGTGAAACCACAGACATTCCCAAGCAGTCAGGGGCTGGAGAGTTTAATTAGGAACTCTGGTTTAGTGTGGCTGAGCTGTTAATCTTCAACAAGAAAACAAAGTGATGGTGGGAACAATTCAGTATGGAACATCTGGTTGATGAGTGCACACAACTGGTCATCCCCATTGCAAAAGAAAATGGATGCTAATTTCATACACCACAGCACTTCATACACCTTTTTAAAATTTATTGTAGAACACAAACATAAGGGAAATGTTAGCTCCAAATATCTTGTTAAATAAGTCACTCTTAGAAAAGGGTGAGTTGGAAGTGATATATCATTAGCAAGATTTTTTAAATTATTATTATTTTTTTTAGAGACAGAGTCTCACTTTATTGTCCTCGGTAGAGTGCTGTGGCATCATACAGCTCACAGCAACCTCCAACTCCTGGGCTTAGGCGATTCTCTTGCCTCAGCCTCCCAAGAAGCTGGGTGCCCGCCACAACACCCGGCTATTTTTTTGTTGCAGTTTGGCCGGGACTGGGTTTTAAAATTATTTTTAATTATTAAAACTCAGAACAGACTAGCAAAGTACCTCCAAAATAAAAATTACCAAATTAGATTATAAAAGTACTTCCAAAATAAAGATGACCAAAAATAAGCTAGCCTGAGAATATCAGTTTTCTGCTGCTGCTACATGTAACATATTAACATAAATTTCACAGCTAAAACACATTAATCTGTTACTTTACAGTTCTGTAGGTTAGAAGTCTGACATGGGCTTCACCAAGCAAAGTCAAGGTGTTGGCAGGGCTGTGCTCCTTCCAGAGGCTCTAGGGGACGTGGTTTCCCTGACTTTTCTCACTTCTGGAGGCTGTCACCCTCCTTGCCTTAGGGCCGTCCTCCATCTTCAAAGCCAGCAACGGTGCATCTGTATTTCACATTTCCTTCTGAATCTGACATTGACCCCATTCCTTCTTCCACTTTTAAGGACCTTTTGATTGTATGGGACCCACCTGATGAGTACAGACAAGTCTCCCTAGCTCAAAGTCAATGCATTAGCACCTTAGTTCCACCTGCCACCCTAATTCTCTTTTGCCATTTAACCCAACATATTAACAGGCTCTGAGGATTAGGACGAAGCCACCTTTAGTGGGGGCAAGTATTCTGCCTACCATAACAAGATTCCACACATTACATACACATTAATGTAACAATTTAATATTTTTGTGACAGTTCATTAACTGTCATCCAGTTGCTTTAATCTATAGAATTTTTTTTTTCTAAATAAACTGGCCAAATACAACAGTAGCAAAAAAATGCAAAGAGATATAAAATGAACTGTAGAAAACATTAAAAGTAGTGATTGTGTGTTTCCATGTGTGTATATTATAAACTGTATATGTATTTATAAACTTACATATGAATATATACACACATACACATTTTAAAGTTAATCAAATGGTTCTTGAAAATATATAACAAAAACCCCTGGGAAGGTAATGCTTGTAAAATAAGCCCAAGTTCATGATGATCTAAAATCAGTCCATGACGAACGTAAAGGTCAGAGAAAAACTCTTTCTCTCCCTAGTAGCTGCTTTTCCCTACTTGTTTTCTTCTTGCTTTTCTCCCGCTGTTGTCCATATCAAACTTCCAGGCCATTGTGCTCTTCAAGGCCTGCCATCATATCATGTGACCAGATCTCTTGTGGACAAGATCAAATCGCCAACTCCCAAATATATATCAGCGCAGCTGCTCTGGTGGAGATCATACAAAAATACAGAAAAACAATCTGTGCATTGCTCCATCCAGGATACGTAGTACCTGTGATTCTGTACCAAAAGGTCCCAATTCTTTCCACAGCTGAAATGCTAGTTTAGGTTTTATAGATACACTTTACTTTCAAGTATGACCACTGCCACTGCGCGGCCCCCGCAGACCTAAAAGACGGGAATGTGGTAGTGGCGGTCGTTCTCGGTCAGCAGGGGGATCTCTGGCCACTCCCTGAAGGGCTCCTCTGGGTAGCGGACTTCAAAGTCTCTGGAGTTAAACTTGAACAGTCTGAACACTTTTATCTTTACTTCAAGGGAGTATCCAAGTATAAACATATCAATCTGGGGATGAGATGAAAGAGAAGTCACAACTACATGCTTTCAAATTCCTGCCTCCCACCTCGGTGGGTGGGTGGGGGGCGTTCTCCTGCAGTTTATGGAATAATCTACTTGTTGACAGATCTAGCCACAAACCACTGAGTGGGCACAAAATTAGGAACAAACGCCCACTCCGTGGAAGGAAGGGGACAAGCATGGAGACAAGCGTAGGAACATCTCTCTAGACTGACATTAAGAAATCATAGGAAAAAGCCGTTTGAGTAACAAACAAACAAACAAAAAAAATCAATGAAACAGAAGGGAACACTCACAAAAACTATACTGTTTTCTAAACTATCATGTTAAATTAATGTATAAAAATGTTGATTATTTTGTTCGCCCTCTAGGAAAGCAAAACAACACAAAAGAAACCCTTTTCCATGGGGATAAAACCATTTTCTGGGTTAAGAAATGTAAATTAATTTCATTTCTCTGTAGGAGGTAACCAAATGCTTTCCCGATGTTATCTCATCTCCCTGTTGGATCTTTTCGTGGTGAACCTCGCCTGGGAGAACCTGTTAATATCTGAAAAGCAACATGATGGGCGGTGTCTGTGGCTCAAGGAGTAGGCCCCATATACCAGAGGTGGTGGGTTCAAATCCAGCCCCAGCCAAAAACTGCAACAACAACAACAACAACAAAAAATTAAAGCAACATGAGGTTAAAAAAGAAAACCACCTCACAGAACTGGTCACTCTCTGTGAGGTCTGGGAAGACACAGAGCAATAAGCAGAGTAATGAGGTTTGTTCTCTTCTTTTGCCATTTTAGAAACAATAATATCAACCAAGCACCCCTCTACAGTTGGTTATGACACTGCTGACAGTAACCTCCAAACACCTCAAGTAGTCGAACACGTAAAATCCTTAACCAAACACATGTGGTTCTTCCACCCCATTTACCTGCTCTAGACCACAGGTGTCACCCACAAAATTCAGGTGGTTCATCATGAAGCTCAAAGGATCGCATGATGTCTCCCTGGCAAACAAGAGCCTAAAAAGACTGGGAATGGCCTTGTTAGTCTTCATTTGTTCATAAGCTTCAGTGACTTGATACAGCATGAGGAACTTCAAAGCTTCATAAAGTTTATATTCCAGAATGGCATCAGAAAAGAGGATGTTGCACATACTTCCTCTCTTGTGATAATCTTTAATTCCATTAAATTCACTCCACTAAAAATAGAGATGTAAAAGTGAAGTTTAGAAGGGTAGACTTACATAAATATATGTAACAATGAAGTTTTTAAAGTACTTATGAAATAAACCAAAGTAGAGGAGGCTGGTACTTTAACTCTGTATATCTCTTGGCACTATTTCATTTTTTTAAGCCATAAGTATACCGCAACAGACTGTGCCCCCCCCCCAAAGTTGTATGTTAAAACCCTAATCCCAAAGTGATGGTATTAGAAAGTAGGGCCTTTGGGCATGATTAGGTCATGAAGGAAAGCCCTCATGAATGAGCTTGGTGCCTTTATAACAATGGTTCTCAACCTTCTTAATGCCGTGACCCTTTAATACAGTTTCTCATGTTATGGTGACGCCCCAACCATAAAACTATTTTCATACACCTGTATTTGTATGGGGTATATGTGATGGTTTTAGGTGACCCCTATGAAAGGGCCATTTGACCCCCAAAGGGGTCATGACCACAGGTTGAGAACCGCTGCTTTGTAAGAATAGGCCGACAAGCTTGCTAGTTCTCTAACCACCATGCGAGGACACAGTAAAAAGATGACTGTCTATAAAACAGGAAGAGGATTCCACCCTGCTGGCACCCTGATCTCAGACTTCCAACCTCCAAAACTGTGAAATATCAACACTTGTGTCTAAGCCACCCAGTTTACAGTCTTTTATTACAGCAGTTCAAGCTTAGATAACACATATATACATACATACATATATTACTTTTACATTAACAAAATATATTTTTAAATATAAATAAAATATAAAATATAAATATAAATATATTTATATATTTTTAAAATATAAATATAAAAAATATGTAAAATAAAATATATTTTTAAAAAAGTACTACCTCCTTGTAAAGTACTAAGCAGTGGAGTTTTCTAAAACTGCTTAGGACAGTTGAGTTATACAAAGGACATTCCAGACAAGAATAGTGCCTGCATACTTTAACACTCACCACATACGCTGCACAGCTGATGCGCCTTAAGTCACTGGATACAATAACTGTACAGGGTATGTACTATCTATATTTCTATTTTACAGATAGAGAAAGCATGGTTCAGAAAGGTTAAGATATTTCCAAAGGTAACCTACTAATAGCAGGCTCAGGATTCATTCTAAATCATCTGAAATCTGTGTCATTAATAAAAGGCAGAAAGAATGTGCCAAAAAATGAAACTAGGTCCTTCTCTCTCACCATATACAAAAATCAAATGAAAATGGATTAAAGATTCAAATCTGAAACTATAGTCTAAATAACACGACATTGGTCTGGGCGAGGACTTCTTGAGTAATACCCCCAAAGCACAGGCAACCAAAGCAAAACTGGACATGAGACCAGATCAAGCTAAAATGCACTGGCACAGCAAAGAAAACAATCAACAAAATAAAGAGACAACGCATAGAACAGGAGAAAACATTTGCAAACTACCTGGCTGACAGGGATTAACAACCAGAATATATAAAGAGCTCTAGCAACTCAATAGGAAAAAAAAAATCAACCCAATTTAAAAAATGGGCAAAGGAGCTAAATAGATATTTCTTAAAAGAAGACATACAAATGGCTAAGAGGTGTATGAAAAAATGCTCAACATCATTAGTCATCAGAGAAATGCAAATCAAAGCTATAATGGGATATCATTTCCTCCCAGTCAAAATGGCTTTTATCAAAAAGCCAGGCAATAATGAAAGCTGGCAAGGATATAGACAAAGGGGAACCCCCGTAACACAGTTGGTGGGAATGTGAATTACTGCAACCACTATGGAGAGCAGAATGGAGGTTCCTCAAAAAACTAAAACTAGAACTACCATAAGACTCATGATTCTCCAGCTGGATACATACCCAAAGGACAGGAATTCAGTATGATATACCCAAAGGACAGGAATTCAGTATGATA